GGGTTTTGGTGATGGTGGTGGTGGAGATTTGTAATAGTAAGCAGGTGGTGGTGGAGACTTATACACGTATGTCGGGGTTGGGGGAGGTGGTGACTTATAGACATAAGTCGGTGATGGAGGTGGAGGAGATTTATAGTAGTATGGAGCAGGTGTAGGCTTGGGCTTTTTGCATTCGGCATAAGGTGTCTTAGAGCCATAAGCAAATGGTTTTGCATAAAGAACAACTTCATATTTATTCTTCGACTTTACTTTGAGGTTAGCACCCTTAATTCCCCAATGAAGGTTCGTAGGAATGCTACACTTTGAACCCTTAGGAGCATAGTGGAGTTTAGCCTTGCAAGCCTTTGCTCCATATTTGCGGTATTCAAATCCTTTAACCGTGATGCTAAATTTGCCATTGTTCTTAGTGGTACCATAACTCACAATTTTCTTGTCACCAGCCTTGCAAGTTACTTCAACAACAGCCCCTAAATCCATGTGAAAATAGAAATAATACATTAAAACAATTAATAGATCTGCTATCATATGATCATTTGCAGAACTATGCCCTATATTCATCATACGAAATTGTAATAATTTGTTTTTCTCATTATAAATACTACTTTTTTACAAAATTGTCAAAATAGTGCTTATAGTTGTTGCCTTATAAATTGTCTTGACGTTGTAAAATCTTATGAACTATGATAAAGGCATATAGTACAAAGCAACAAAAAGGAGAATATATAGTTGGATAATTTATCTTATGAAAAATAAAGAGAAAATAAAGAAAGCATGCATGATATAAAGACCATGATACCTTTCAGGTGTTTCTTGTCGTGAGACATTTTTGGGTGCTTCCAATCATAACATCTAAAGCAATAGACTTTTCCGACAACTTTGACCACGAATTGATGATGTGGAGGATAGTAATGAGTTGATGGTGGTGGAGACTTGTAGTAGTATGGAGTTGGAGGTGACTTAACAGGTGGTGGTGGAGAAGTGTAGTGATATGGTGGAGGAGGTGACTTTTTGGGTGGTGGTGGAGAGTTGTAGTAGTATGGAGGAGGTGGTGACTTAACAGGTGGTGGTGGAGAAGTGTAGTGATATGGTGGAGGAGGTGATTTCTTGGGTGGTGGTGGTGAGGAGTAGTAGTATGGAGGAGGTGGTGATTTAACAGGTGGTGGTGGGGAAGTGTAGAGATATGGCGGAGGAGGTGATTTCTTTGGTGGTGGTGGTGAGGAGTAGTAATATGGTGGAGGGGGAGACTTCACTGGTGGTGGTGGAGACTTGTAATAGTATGGTGGGGGTGGTGATGGAGATGGAGGAGGTGGCGACTTGTAGTAATAAGGTGGTGGAGGAGAAGGTGAAGGAGGTGGTGGAGATTTATAATAGTATGGTGGTGGAGGTGAAGGTGATGGAGGAGGTGGAGACTTGTAGTAATATGGCGGGGGTGGTGACGGTGAGGGAGGAGGTGGAGATTTGTAATAGTATGGTGGTGGAGGTGACGGTGAAGGTGGAGGTGGAGACTTGTAGTAATATGGAGGTGGTGGTGAAGGTGATGGTGGAGGAGGAGATTTGTAATAATATGGTGGAGGTGGAGATGGCGATGGAGGTGGAGGAGACTTATACACATAGGGTGGAGGTGGAGACGGTGAGGGAGGTGGTGGTGACTTATACACATAGGGTGGTGGTGGAGATGGTGATGGCGGGGGTGGAGACGTATACACATATGGTGGAGGTGGAGATGGAGAAGGAGGAGGAGGTGACTTATAGACATATGGAGGCGGGGGAGAAGGTGAAGGAGGAGGTGGAGATTTGTACACATATGGTGGTGGTGGAGAAGGAGAAGGAGGCGGTGGTGACTTGTACTCGTACGTTGGAGGTGGTGGAGAAGAGTACACATAAGGGTCAGCCGACACTACATTAGCAACAACCAATATAACCAACACCGTCAATATTCTTGGCAAACATTGACGACCCTTTGTAGGGCCGCCACCTTGAAGCCTCATTTCGTCAGAAAATTACACCACCTAACCACCCAAATGTGGCTAGTTAGAGTAAGAAGAAAGGATATAACCTATAGTTTTTCAGTTGAGAAGTGATGCTTTTGTGGGATTCATTTGCCTATGTATTTATAGTAAAACACCTTTAGAGATAGCTCTGTCTAAAGGACCAATTCAAATGTTAAAAAAAATATATAAAACATATTCTAATTTAACTTATAAAAACTCCACTTTTTGATCACTTTTGAATATTTCCATTGAATTATTTTCACTTCACATGCCACAAAATGTTGCCAAGGGAAAATGATTGCTAATTTTCAATATTTCCACTCTCTTACCATTTTGTATATTTCCATGTTTTAAAAAAAATGTATTTTTATTTCTTTAATTAATTAGTGGTAAATAAACTTAAAACCAAAGGTTGTGGCAGAATAGTAATTGGTAATATTCCTTCGTTTTTAATCAGATGTCTCGAGTTAGAGTTCGAATTCTGAATTTTGAATACAGAAAGTATTTACGCGCCAAAATAAAATTTTACAATATGAATTCAGATAAATCGAACTCAAAATTGAACACCAAACACGAAATGAAAAAGAACCTTCCTATGATGGATGCATGGCTTCAAGTATGTGGATTTTACTTGTTGCCAACTATAAATGTTGATTTCTTTGATATGTTTCAACTACTCCATTATATTTTGTGATATACTTAAAAAATTAAGTTTGACTATTTATTTAATTTTGAAATCTTTTCTATTAATTATTTCAGAACCATTTGTTCATGAACTAAGTTATTAAAAATCAATTTCTGTCGTTTTCAATTAATACTAATTATTAATACCTAATAAGTTTATTAAAGAGTGTTTAATTTTTTGAGACTTGGAAAAAAGTACTAATCCGTACTTTAGGTACTCCATATTTTAATTTTTTCAAGTTAAAGACATTAAATTATATGTAGAGTAAAAAATAACTATATATAATTAATTATAGGAAAATTTTGTTTGCTTAACACAGATTGGTAATATTTTGTAGAAAATATTATAAGAATATATACTTCATAATTTTACAATAAAGCTTATAGTATGTTTCATCTTACTTAAATATCGTGATAAGAGTTGAATGTTTTATACTACGGGGTATAAAAATATTACACGATTCTTTTCATCTGACAAATTTTGGTGAATAGAAAGTATTTAGTACATCTAATGAGGAAAATAAATAAATATCCGTAAAATTAGATGAGATTTACCCGAATTCTGTAACTATAAGAAAATTTGCTCGGTAATACAAATAAATTCGATTGTCACTATATATATTTCAAATATAAAACATAAAATTCATTTATTTAATTATCAGTTGACTTTGCTCCCATACTGATACGTCTCTTCTTTTTATTTTAAAAAAGTTTTAATATATAAATAAACCATGAAAGAATATTAGACGTGGATTGATCAACTTTTTGGATACTACATTTTTTTAAAAAAATTCAAAGAAAAACTATATTAAAGAATTATAATGAAAATTAGACCTTAACGTTGATGATTAATGTATAATAAGATTTTATGTCAAATTCTTTTTTGCAAATTCATTATTTAATTATTTTGGCTTTTGTGATCCCAATGTTCGTCCACTAATGAAGAATTTAAAAAATTCTACGAGGACCTTCGTAATAAGTTGAGGAAGTGTTATTTATAGTTTCATTATTTTTAAGGTATATTTTTATATTTACAATATAATTTTTAGAAATTAAGTGATTTTCTTGGTTTTTTCGTATGTATAGCGAAAATAGTGAAATTATGCGCAATGCTTCCCGAACTCATCATAGAGGTCATCATAAGTTTTTTCAAAAATAAATTGAGTGTTTCAAGGCGTCAGAATTATGAGCTAATAAACATGAAATATCAAGAAAGTCGCGTAATTTCTAAAAGTTGGCTCGTAAATGTAAAAATATGTCTTAAAAATAGTGGGACTATACGTAATGGTTCTCTAACTCATTACAGATGCACATAAAGTTTTTCAGGAAAAAAAATGGGTGCTCCAAGACGCCAAATTCATGGGATAATACACAAAAAAAAATCAAGAAATTCGTGTAATTCCTAAAGTTGGCTCGTAAATTTAAAAATATGGTGGGACTATTCGTTATAATTCTCCAACTCATTAGAGATTCTCATAATTTTTTTATGAAAAAAAATTCTTGGGTGCTCCAAGACGCCAGATCGATGGGCTAATATTAACACACGAAAAAATAAAAAAGTAGAATAATTTCTAGAAGTTAGCTCGTAAATGTAAAAATTTACGTTAAAAAATGATGGAACTATTCGCAATGTTTCCCCAACTTATTGCAGAGGTTCTCATAAATTATTTTGGGTGCTCCAAGGTGTTAAATCCATGGGCTAATACACACGAATAATCAAGAAAGTTGCGTACTTCCTAAAAGTTGACTCGTAAATGTAAAAATATGCCTTATAAATGGTAAGACTATACGCCGTGCTTCTCCAACTCATTACATTTTTGGAGTCCATTTGGGTATTTAGGGGTAATTTATAGAAATTAGACGACTTACTCAATTTTTCATGTGTATTAACACATGCATATTTTGATGATATAATTTTTAGACGATTTCTTTCTGAAACCTTTATAGAACCGTCACATATTGCATTGCAAAAGAGAAAAAAATCAAATGGGGTTTTAGTATTATTTTAACCTTGTTTATACAATATAATTTTACGACGCAAAAGTCCAATTAAGCCATCCACCAAAATAGTTTTTTTTTAAAACTCTCATAAACAATTATTCTCTTATTTAAGAGTAGAATCTACTAATTAGACGGTGCTTCTGACATTGGATTAACTGGCGTTTAAAATATATTAACTAATAGCCGCCTTCTACAAGCTGTATTTTAATCTTTAGATAATTTGACAATATAAAAAAACATATAAATAAATAAAAATTTGGAAATCCAAAATTAAGGGTGGATGCACCGTATAAGCTATTACGATGCTAAGCACTCCTTCATTCTTAACCAATAGGTCTCGAGTTCAAGTCTCCTTTGATACGGAGTCGTCTTTGTAACAGAGTGTTTTACCCTTAATGTGAACTTCGAAGTGATTTACCCTTAATGTGAGACATCCCGATGTGACTCTAAATTTAGTCCAATGTGATCAGTGAACATTGAGTGAAAAATATGAAATCTGCTTTAAAATCGTCCATTTTTGCACTCACCATTCGAGTATATGTTATGTTGTGTATATATATGTATGAATATTAACGACTTGATAACACAAATGATCGATAAAATAAACAACATTTTGAATTTATAAAATTCAAATTCCGAATCGTTTCCAAAGTCAACCACACTATCATTAGGGCTGCTAAGAAAATAGAAATAACAAGGAAACATACAAAAGACCAAATTGTATGATCTAAGATGTTTCCATGTGGCAACATGTAAAGGTTAACCAAACAAAAAAAAAATATGTCAAGAGAGTGGAAATATTAAAATTTATCAATCATATGTTATTTCACATATTCTATGTAGCAGGTAACAAACTACTTTGTTATAAAGATAATATGAAAATATTCAAAGTGATACAAAGATGACTTTAATAAATAAGATGATCCAGCTGTTAATGTTTTTTTTTACACTGGTTATTAATCAGAGCAATTGAATTAGTCCTTTTAGACAGCTCTTTACTAACAATTATTTTATCAAAAATTTTTTAGTATAAATACATAGGCTAATGAGTCCACAAAAGGCATCACTTCTCAACTGAAAAACTAAAAGTTGTCTTCTTTCTTCTTCCCTTAACTAGCTAACCATAGTTGGGAGGCTAGGTGGTGTAATTTTTCGGCGAAATGAGACTTAACAATGGCGGCCCTGCCAAGGGTCGTCGATATTTGCCACAAATCTTAGTGGCATTGGCCATATTGGCTGTTGCTAATGTAGTGTCCGCTGACCCTTATGTGTACTCTTCTCCACCACCTCCGGTGTATGAGTACAAATCACCACCACCTCCTTCTCCGTCTCCATCACCACCATATGTGTACAAATCTCCACCTCCTCCCACGCCTTCTCCCCCACCTCCATATGTTTATAAGTCACCTCCTCCTCCTTCTCCATCACCACCACCACCATATGTGTATAAGTCCCCACCACCTCCCTCGCCTTCTCCACCACCACCCTATGTGTATAAGTCCCCACCACCTCCCTCACCGTCTCCACCACCACCCTATGTGTATAAGTCTCCACCACCTCCCTCACCGTCTCCACCTCCACCGTATTACTACAAATCTCCTCCTCCCCCATCACCTTCACCACCACCTCCATATTACTACAAGTCTCCACCTCCACCTTCACCGTCACCTCCACCACCATACTATTACAAATCTCCACCACCGCCTTCACCATCACCACCTCCACCATATTATTACAAGTCTCCACCGCCACCTTCACCTTCTCCTCCACCGCCTTATTACTACAAGTCTCCACCTCCTCCATCACCTTCACCACCACCACCATACTACTACAAGTCTCCTCCTCCACCTTCACCATCACCACCCCCACCATACTATTACAAGTCCCCACCACCACCGGCTAAATCACCTCCTCCCCCATACTATTACAGTTCACCTCCACCACCAGTGAAGTCTCCCCCTCCACCATACTACTACTCCTCACCACCACCACCAAAGAAATCACCTCCTCCACCGTATCACTACACTTCTCCACCACCACCAGTTAAGTCACCACCTCCTCCGTACTACTACTCCTCACCACCACCGCCAAAGAAATCACCTCCTCCACCATATCACCACAGTTCCCCACCACCACCAGTTAAGTCACCTCCAACTCCGTACTACTACAAGTCTCCACCACCACCACCAAAGAAGTCTTCTCCCGCACCATACTACTATACTTCACCACCACCACCAACTCATTACTATCCTCCACATCATCAATTTGTAGTCAAAGTTGTCGGAAAAGTCTATTGTTTCAGATGTTATGATTGGAAGCACACAGAGATGTCTCACGGCAAGAAACACCTGAAAGGTACCTTAGTCTTTATAGTTTATACTACACTCATATATTTTTATTTTCTTTTAAGGTTATCATCAAAAATTTATTTAACTGTACATAATTTGTTGCTTTGTTCATTATGCTCTGACAGAATTTATATATAAATTGTTTTTGTGTTAATGTTTCTTTTTACATGTATTAGGTGTTGTTGTTGAAGTGACTTGCAAGGCCGGTGACAAAGAAATTGTGAGTTATGGTACCACTAAGAACAATGGCAAATTTAGCATCACGGTTAAAGGATTTGAATACCGCAAATATGGAGCAAAGGCTTGCAAGGCTAAACTCCACTATGCTCCTAAGGGTTCAAAGTGTAGCATTCCTACAAACCTTCATTGGGGAATTAAGGGTGCTAACCTCAAAGTGAAGTCAAAGAATAAATATGAAGTTGTTCTCTATGCAAAACCATTTGCTTATGGTTCTAAGACACCTTATGCCGAATGCAAAAAGCCCAAGCCTACACCTGCTCCATACTATTATAAATCTCCTCCACCTCCAACACCGACTTATGTTTATAAGTCACCACCCCCTCCATCTCCAAAATATGTTTACAAGTCACCACCTCCCCCAACCCCGACATACGTGTATAAGTCTCCACCACCACCTGCTTACCATTACAAATCTCCACCTCCACCATCACCAAAACTTGCACCGGTATACTATTATAAATCACCACCACCACCATCACCAAAACCT